TGGAAAACACTAGAAATATCTGGGCCCAAGTGAAGATGAGGCCTTAGATCTTGAGGCCCTGTATCAGGGCATTCACCTGAGCAGAGCTAAGCAATGGGAACCATAAGGTGGAATGGATGGCTAGCAGAAGGTTGGACACAGGCTCCAAGCGCTTGGGTTAGAAACCTGCTACTCTTCATGGGATGGATGCACACACACACACACACCAACTCAAAGTGACATCAGTGTTGATCATCACCACCACGAATCAAATGTCCACAGTGGGCAAGGTGCTTTAAGTATTAACACATTTTATATAATAACCCTAAAGCATGTGCCATGACTATTACTGTTCCACACTTGAAGAAAATCAAGATTCAGTGGTGTGTGTGTGTGTGTGTGTGTGTGTGTGTGTGTGTGTGTGTGTACCCCAAGCCTCAGGATGATAGACAATTCCTCTGCCTCTAAGCTACATTGCCAGCCTATGGGTCAAAATGCAAATTTAAGTGGTTCATATTCAAAGCCTATGCCAACGACATACAAGTTGAGTGACATGTTTCATACCACACAGCCAAAAATGTTTCAGGTCAAAATGTTAACTCAAGTCACAAAGCCTGGTTCAACACTCCCATCAGAATACATGTGGCAGGAGAAAGGGAGAAAAGAGGATAAGAAAGGGAGTAAAGGAGTTTCAGCCCAGCCTTTGTCCCCCATCACCAGGCCTTGGATAGAGAGCCTCTGCTAAAGAGGCCACAGCTGGAGAGTGCCAGACCCAGGCTAGATCTGCCTATAGGCACGAGGAACATCCTGAGTCCCAGCCTTCGGGATCTTTGACCCCCATCACCAGTCTTCTGCTGGAGCCTGATCGCTGACCCCCATCGCCGGGCCCCTGCCTGTGGAGAGATTTCCTAGAGAGCTTGGACCACCCAGAGCTTCAGACATCGAACCTCTGATCCACCTAAGCTCACCAGGGAAGTACCATAGAGAGAGGGGGAGACCCCACCAACACCTACTGGAAGAAACTATGGGAAGATAATACAACACCTAACAACAGAAAGACAAGCATGACACCACCAGAATCTAGGGAACCTACACCAACCAGACCGGAACACAACAAAGCAGATGAAGCAGAAGGGAATGACTTAAAAATTATCATCATAAAAATGATAGAGGCCCTCAAAGAAGATGTGAGAAAATCCATTAAAGAAATGAAAGAAAAAACAAACACAAAATTGGAAGAAATGAACAAATTTCTCAAGGAAAATAAAGTACAGAAAGCCAAGAAAAAAACAATTAAACAGGTGAAGGAAATGGTTCAAGACTTAAAAACTGAAATAGAGATACTTCCTTAACCTAGAGACAGAAGAGAAGCCCTAGTCCCTACTTCAAATGACCTGTCAGATCTACATAACCACACCTGGATGGCATTGCCCTACATGTGGAATTGGGGTGGGGGTGGGAGGGGAGGGTGGTCAGGGTGCATGTGACAGGGCAGAGAAGGTAAAAGGGAGGAAAAGAGGGAGGGAGGGAGGAGAGCGAGGGAGAGGGAACTGGGATCGACATGTAAAATAAAAAATAAATAAATTTTTAAAAAAAGAAAGTGAATAGAGAGGTGACTGTAGAGAGAATAGAGTTCACCCCTGTATAGAATGCAGTGGGCAAGCTAGAAAGAGGGCTTAGCAGTTAAGAGCACTTGCTGCTCTTGAAGAGGACCTGAGTTCTGTTCCCAGCACTCAGATCATATAGCTCACAACTGTCTGGAACTCCTTTTTTCAGGGTTCAAACACCCTCTTCTGGTGTCTAGGGACATGCATACATCAGAAACACACACCCATATGAAATAATTATTTCAAAGAAATGTACTGAAGGCCAGAAAACATGACTCAACAGATCAAGATGCTTGCCACACAGGCTTGGTAGCCTGAGTTTTGTCCCCCAAACCCACATACAGGTAAGAGGAGAGAGACTTGCAAAGATGTCCTCTGATGGCCATACAAGCTGTGTGGCATGTGTCCCCTCCCCCACATATTGATGTCACATATGTAATAGTAATAAGTAAACTTTAAATAGAAATATAATAAACCCATAATTTTACACAATGAATTTGTAGTGATAAAATATTAAAATATGAAAAAGAGTATATGGCCCATGTTGTTCTTTGGGACCCAGAAGATATGGACACTCTGCAGTTTCTTCTCCAACTGCTTCTTGTATTCTCTGTAACCCATTATCATGGCCCTGGGAAAGCATTTTCTCCCTGTGGATCCTAGACTGTTACAGGAATTAGAAATCCCCTCCCTTGCATTCCCAAATTTCTTCTCTTCAGAGGGTACAGCCAATCCAGTACACTTCCAACTGAAATTGCAAGACAGTTGCTGTTCTTTGCTCCTGGAAATCCCCAGTGAGGAACCACTTAACCAACATATTTTGATTGTCCACAATGAGTCTGAAGTGAAGGGTTCTTCAGTTCTGCAAAAGCCCACAGTCTGGGAGAAGAGATAAAGCCAAGCTATTAACTCTCAGCAAAGGTAAAAACATGCTAGAAGCTTGGAATTGATGAGTAGGACAATAGGAACCGGGGACAATCCTATACTGATCCTGGAAGCCGTCATAGGTAGGGGTGTCTGAGCACTCACAGAGTTCAGTCACTTGTGACACAGCTGCACTACCTGAAGCCTAGCAGACTTGAGCACAGGCCTCAGCAGCTACCCTGGGAGACTTTCACAGCTATTAGTATCTGAGTGCTCACTAATTGCTTACAGCAAAATTAGCTTCACCTAAGACAAGAGTTTTTTAATGTAGGTTTTAAAATATTTTACTTTGTTATTTTTCAAGCCATGGTCTCACATGTAGCCAAGGCTATCTTGGAACTTACTATGTAGACAAGGCTGGCTCTGGACTTACAGAGATATGCCTCCCTCTACCTCTGAGTGCTAGGATTAAAAGTATGCACCATCATGCCTGGCAAAATAGATTTATTTGTTTTTTGTTTGTTTGTGGTTTTTGTTTTGTTTTTCAAGACAGGGTTTCTCTGTATTGCTTTGGAGACTGTTCTAGAACTAGCTCTGTAGACCAGAGATCCACCTGCCTCTGCCTCCCAAGTGCTGGGATTAAAGGTTTGTACCACCAACACCCGGCATGTTTATTTATTTATTTTGTTTGTTTGTTTGTTTGTTTGTAAATTCCTGGTTGCCCAGAAGTCCAAACTCCCTTCAGACATGGCTTATGAGGCTTCCCCTAGGTTTACAATTCTCCATTTCCTCCCACTAGGTGAGCCTGCAGGGTCCTGTCCACCTCATTCACTTGGCACTGAAGGCCTCCAACGCTGCCTTGAAATCACTGTTCTAGCCCTTATCTTCATTTGCTCCAAGACATGTGTGTCCATAGGAATGACACCCGGGATTGATCTGTGGTACACACACGTGCACATGCATGTGCACCCACACAAACATACACAACTCACACACACACTGACAGTGTACTAAGTAACAGATGCATATATAACATAAAAGTAGCTAAAGAGATGTATGCAACTTAGTTAGAAATGGAAAGGAGAGAGAGCTTGGAAGGCCCACAGCAACGATGTGAAGACCCAACAACAAATAATAGTCACATGACAAATGGAATCTTAGTCTAAAAACTCAAAGAAGAAATAAAAATTAATTTACTATCACAGAATTGAATCTTTTTTTTTCTTTTCTAAAAGTTTTATGTGTATGGATGGTTTTTGTATGCCTGTGTGCCCTGTGTCCATGAAGCCCCGAAAAGGGTATCATATCCACCACAACTGTAATTACAGGCAATTGTAAGCCACATTTGTAGATGGTGGGAATAAAACTTGGGTGCTCTGGAAGAGTAGCCAGTGCTCTCAACCACTGAGCCATCTCTCTAGCCCCTCTCTCTTAATTTTTTTCCTACAGGGTCTTTTGTAGCTCAGACTGGCCCCAAGCTTTCTATGTAGCCAAAGATAATCTTAGATTCCCTGATCTTCCTGTCTTCATCTCCTGAGTTCTAGCATTATAGGCTACCATGTATGGTGTTTGTGAAAAAATGGCCCCCATAGACCCATAGGGAGTGACACTATTAGAAGGTTTGGCCTTGTTAGAGTAGGTGTGGTTTTGTAGAAAAAAGTATATCTCAATGGGCACTACTCAAGACTTCCTGCTACCTGAAAATCCAGATATAGAACAATCAACTCCTTCTCCAGCACCATGGCTGGCTGCATACCACCATGCTTCCCACCATGACAATAATGGACTAAGCCTAGCAGTGGTGGCACACACCTTTAATCCCAGCACTAGAATCAGGTGGATCTCTATGAGTTCAAGACCAGCTTGGTCTACAAGATCTAGTTCCAGGACAGCCTCTGAAACCACAGAGAAATCCTGTCTCAAAAAACAAACAAACAATGACAATAATGGGCTAAACCTCTGAGAACTGTAAGCAAGCCCCAATTAAGTGTTTTCCTTTATAAGGGTTACTATAGCAATGGTCTAATCATGCTGTATTCCTGCTATAGGCATGCTGTAGTCTCTTCATAGCAATAAATATCTAAGATGCCAGGCTTACTATATAACCCTGTCTGGCCTATGTAAACTAGTCTGGTCTCCAACTCACAGAGATCATCTGCCTCTGCCCCTGTCCCTGTCCATGCCTCTGCCTCTGCATCAAGTGCTAAGATTAAAATCATGTACCACCATGCCCATGACATAGAGCTCAGAAAGCAAAGAACACAGGCCAGATCCAGAAGCTAGCATAACCTCAAAGACCTGCTGCTAGGCCCCACTTCCCAAAGTTACACAACCTCCCCAAAACAGTACTACAACCTAGGATACAAGAATTCACTCACATGAGCCTGGGAGTTCCTGTAGACTCAAACCTTGATAACATCTGCTATTATCATTAAAAAGTTATGAGGCCCACCCGGACTGTGCGCGTGCGCCCGCCCGGCAGCCGGCGGCCACGGAGTCCGCTGCAGCCCGCAGCCAGGGTGTTGCGCCGATGGAGGGGCAGCAGCAGGCCACCATGACAGATTACGGCCAGGAGCAGCGCAACGAGTTGGAGGCTCTGGAGTCCATCTACCCCGGCTCCTTCACAGTATTATCAGAAAATCCACCCAGCTTCACCATTACCGTGACGTCGGAGGATGGCGAAAATGACGAAACTGTGCAGACTACTCTGAAGTTTACATATAGAGAAAAATACACTGATGAAGCTCCCCTTTATGAAATATTCTCCCAGGAAAATCTAGAAGATAATAATGTCTCTGACATTTTAAAATTACTGGCATTGCAGGTTGAGGAGAATCTTGGCATGGTAATGATCTTCACTCTCGTGACAGCCGTTCAGGAAAAGTTAAATGAGATAGTAGACGAGATAAAAACCAGAAGAGAGGAAGAGAAGAAACAGAAAGAAAAGGAAGCAGAAGAAACAGAGAAGAAACTGTTCCATGGCACTCGTGTTACAATTGAGAATTTCTTGAGTTGGAAGGCCAAGTTTGATGCAGAGCTCCTGGAAGTTAGAAAGAAGCAGATGAAAGAAGAACAAGCAGGGAAAAATAAACTAAGTGGGAAGCAGTTATTTGAAACAGATCATAATCTTGACACATCTGATATCCAGTTTCTGGAGGACGCTGGGAACAACGTGGAGGTGGATGAGTCCTTGTTTCAGGAAATGGATGACTTGGAACTGGAGGATGGTGAGGATGATCCCGACTACAATCCTGTTGCCCCAGGGAGCGACTCCTCAGACTGACAGACTGTCCCTGACTCCAGAGAGGCATGCCTGCCACAGCATCTGTGGCTATGCTCAGAGGGTTTGGATCTTCCTTTCGTTTTTTCCTAAGGGGGGGGGGGAACAATATATTTCAGGAGAATATTCTTCTGGTAGCTTTCAACATTGAACTTAATAAATTGCTCATAAAATTTCAAAAAAAAAAAAAAGGTTATGAGGTATCTGAATTCCCTATGTCAATTAGCTTTTCATAATTATTGCCGAAATTCTTGAGAGAACAACTTAAAGGAGAGGAATTATTTATCTCATGTCCTGGGTTTATTTCTGTTGTTATAGACTACCCTGACAAAAGGAATTTTATGGAAGAAAGGGTTTATTTAGTTAACAATTCCAGGTTACAGCCCATCATTGCAAGGAAGTCAAGGCCAGAACTTGAAGCAAGCTAGTCACAAGCACAATCAAGAGCAGAGAAAGAATGGATATATGCAAGCTTACTGATGTTCAACACCCTCCCAATACTCATACTGTCTAGGATCCCCTGTCTAGAGAATGGTATTGCCTACAATGGGTAGGTCTTTAGTTGTGTTTGTTTGTGTATTGTTGATGGGAGATGCCATTATGTATATATGTTTCTCATACTGGTTAATGAATAAAGCACTGTTGGCCAATAGGAAAGGAAGATAGGAGGGACTAGGAGACAAGGAGGAAAGAGGAAGTAGTAAGGAGGAGTCAAGATGGAGAGTCTGGAGAAAGCAGAATGCCGGCCGGCTCCCCGGTAAGAGACCACGTGAAAATACATAGATCAGCAGAAATGGGTTAATACTTAAGACAGAGCTAGCCGATAAGAAACTAGTACCAGGCCAATAGCATTGTACCTAATACATTGTCTCTGTGTGTTATTTGGGGCTGGCACGGCAGCGGGACAAGACCAGCAGCAGGCGGAAAAACCTTACTCCTTACATATTGTTGGGTTTTTTTGTTTGTTTGTTTTTGTTTTTTTGGGTTTTTTCGGGGGGATTGGTTTTTTTGTTTGGTTTGGTTTGGTTTGGTTTAAATTTTTAGAGACAGGGTTTCTCTGTATTGCTTTGGAGTCTGTCCTGGAACTCGCTCTGTAGACCAAGCTGAATTCGAACTCAGTCAGACATCCACCTGCCTGTGCCTCTTGAGTGCTGGGATTAAAGACATTTGTCACCAACGCTCAGCCTGGGCTATGTCTTTGTATATCAGTTAACGTTAGTAACCAAGATAATCCCCCACAGACATGCATATTGGACAACCTGATCTAGGAAATCCCTCATTGAGCCTCTCTTCCCTGATGATTCTAGATTGTTCCATGATGATAACTGAACCCAACCATCGCAGCTTAGCCCATGGTTTTGTAATGATTGAAAAATTTAGTCTAACTCTCCCTAGAATCTGCCCCCTAGCAGTGAGTAGGCAAAAGGTACATTCTTGACTGTTTACAACAGGGCAGTTTACGACAGCACCTGTGAGTGAATAAATAGGAAATGAGCCTTGTCACACTACCCAGAAGCCCTAGTAAAAGCAGACTTCCTGGGCTAAGCGCGAGCTTGGATAGTTCAAATTGGACTGGTCCGCACTGGATGTTATGAGATGATTGGTTTATGATGCACGGGCTTTGCTATAACCCTATAAACCCTGTACCCAGGGTTCCCAGACCTCTACCCCACGTGGAGTATGGCTGCGGACCCCAGTGCACTAGAATATAAAAGACCTCATGCTTTTGCATCAAGACTGCTTCTCGTGAGTGATTTTGGGGGACCACCTTTTCTGAGTCAGGGCATGAGGGTCCACGCCTTCTGCGGGTCTTTCATTTTCAGAGGTTTAGTCCATGGTGGCAGGGAGGATACAGTGAATAGGGAGCCGGTGAGCTCACAGCAACCAGGAAACAGTAACAGGAAGGTGTCATGGCAGGAGACAACTCCAAAAATGCATCTCTGTGAACCCAGTTCTTCCACTCAGGCCTCACCTTTCATGCCTCAAAACAGTCTATTTAAATTCCAAATCCATTCCTGATGCCAGAGCCCTTATGATTTGATCATCCTTGGAAATGTTCTTCCATGCTCTTCCAGGCATTTTCACAATACTCAAAGCAAGGTTTCCTCAGTGCCTTAGGCATAACATGCTGTAGGCAAACAGGATTCTACCATTTCCCCAAGTCTGCTGCTTTATATGGACCAAAAGTGATTGGAAATTTTTATTACCAGTCCCTTTATTAATCCTTTATTGCAACACACAGGACCTCTTGCTGCAGAACAAACATCCAAACCTAGGCTCCTCCCTCCCTCCAGGGTCGTTTTTTTTGGGGGGGGAGGGGGTGCACTCTCTCCTGACCTTTGATTGACACACTTATCTCCAAAGCTCCATTCCTCTATGACTGCTCTTCCTCCTTCAATTCTAGAAAGCTTATATCTCTGCTGCAGGTTTGTTTTGTTTGTTTTTGTTTTTTGGAGGCAAGAGTCTCAGTTTTATCTGGAACTTGCCATTCAGATAGGATGGTTGGCCCAAAAGCCCCAGAAATCCATTGGTCTCTGCCACCCCAGTACTTGGATCACAGGTACACACCATCATGCCTGGTTCTTTTTGTGGGTGCTGGGGATCAAAATCAGGTCCTCATGCTTGTACCGCAAGCACTTTACTGACTAAGCCATCTCCCTAGCCCAGTCCACTGATGGGCTTTTAAATGGATGGCTGCACTCACACATGTGGCCACCATGGTTTATGTCAAGTTATGGCAGCCTTCACCTTCAAAGAGGCATTAAAGCTCTCCATAGCCACTGATCTCAAGTAAGCCTGAGGTGCTGATTGGATATAATGCCCTGTAAATGGGTTATGTGACTAGACAGGGCAGTGAGAGCAGATCAAATAAAAGATTACTCCCAAGTCTACCTTGGCAAGCAAAGCTTGTTAGACTTGTTCATAGAAGTGAAGGGTCACTTACAAGAACATCTGGTAAGAGCCCACATTCCCCACATTCCAGCATGAGTGATTACTCTCAAAAGCAGCATCTCAGTTGCTTTCTGTACCACTTGAGGACAGCATAGTCTCCTTGAACCAGCAACTGTTAACTGCTTCTCTAACCTTGGGGTGGGGGTGGGGGGTTCCCTGAGTCATGTGACTCCCTGGGATCCCTGAGCCTGAGAGTGTATAATCTGGAGAGAGCCTACTAAGTCTCTGTAAGCTTTCTGGGCCTCTCTCTACCTTCTCTACAGGAGAGAAATAATTCTAGAGGAAATAGCCACACACAAAAAAATGTAGCTTATGCTCAACACTTGCTTTCCTTGGGGGTCTTGAATTTTTCTTCTAAGCAGCATGGGGGTAGGGGGCAGCCAGCCAGACTATCAAAACAAACCCCTGGGAGCTAAACTCTAAACTTGTATTGAGCATCCCACATGTGCTAGAGGAATTAAGTGTGACCTTGGAGACAAACCTGTGGGTGTGTCTGGAGGGGAATTTCTAGACTGGGTCAACTGAGGTGGATGTGGGTGGCATTATTCTCAGGCTCAGATCCCAGACTGAATTTAAAACAGAAACCAAGCTAGGTACACACATCTGTCTCTGCTTTCTGGCGGTGGGTACCACATGACCATCTATCTCCTGCTCTTACCACCATGCCTTTCCCACCGTGAGGGAAATGAGAGCCAAAATAAACTCTGCTTAAAGCCTTTAACACAGGACTTTTGGGAGTCTGTACCTCTTTCCCTCTAGACTCCACCTGTGTGTTTTCCCTCCAGAATAGACAATGATGAATACAATTACTGTACTGAATTCTGATCATTGCAATATGACTTTGAACCTGGGGATAGTCTTGGGATACTCAGCATATTCCCCCATCAGGGAATCTATTTCACATAGTCAGAGAGGTACTCTGCTTTGAACACCATCAAACCCCCAGAAGACCACTTATACAACTGGCTCTACTCCAGCCACTGATGACCCTCATACACAGCCACACCTAATGATGGCTGACTGTGGACCTGCCTGCTACCCACAGTACTCAAAATTGTAGGGAGTTAACACTGGTGCAAGCCTTTAACTGATAGACTCTTCCTCTGAGCTCTTCTGGGCTAGACTGTTCTCATCATATTTATTTGGTTTCAACAGTGACAGCCCCTCAGGAAGGAACAAACATCTCATCTTTGAAAGTCAGTGACCCTGGGAAGTACTCCCTAATAACATACCACCACAGCTGCTTCTGTTTTCCTGGGAAGCCATGTTACTAAAGAACAGTTGTTGGGAGGACGGGCGAATTCATAGACTAACAGGATGGAAAGAAGATCTTGCCCTGTGTGTTCTGGTATCATCATTGGGGGCAGGACAGGATGGGACCAGGAGATGAATGAATTTGTTAAGATATTCTATTTCATATTCAAGCAAGAGACCATGATGGTTTACAAGAATGCATGAGGGCATTTTTTTAACCAAAGTAGAAGAAAAATAGGATGAAAATATAAAATGAACTCAGATGAGATCCCATAAGGCACTGTTGGAGACAATACTGACTCTGAGACTCCTGACAGTAAAGCAAAGAGGAAAATGTGAGTGTTTTATTCCTATTACATCCCCAGTGTACAGAGCACTAAGTGCAACCCATCCAGGAGACATGGCAGAAACAACTGCCCAGTGAAGGCGAGGTGTACTGTTGGGAGGTGGGCAGCAGGTCGCTACAGCAGGCCTAGAACTGCATTCTCTGGATCTTCAGAGGAGGCTATTCAGAAAGAAGTTTAATAAGGAGTCAATACCTACAAACATGGATACAAAACTCTCTAAAGTCTGTCTTGATCCAACATCATGATCTGTAATGATCCTAGCCATCATGACCGACAGTATGACAGCTCTTGAATGTTTAGATTCCAACTGAGTCATGGAGGCAAGGTTTGCTGAAAGAGGCAGCAACTGGGATGAATCTCAATTCTAAGTCCACAGGCTCTGTCACCTCTGTGAGTTGTCATGGTTTCCAGTTAAGCTAAATGATAACAATAAGAACAGCAATAGCTATAACAAGCAGCAGCCAGCAGCAACAAACACTCTGGGCAGCTTTGTGTGCCTGGGAATTCTAAACAACAGACTTTGTAAAGCCCA